TCACCATTTAGGTTTCATTTAAGTTTGGGATTATTCAGGGCGAGAGATCGATCGGGTGCGGGCAGGAGACCACGGGGTGACTGAAGGGCGGGCTCAGGGTCTCCCAAGATCCAGAGGACTCTGGGCTGAGCCGCGGGCCCGACGGCGCCTCCCCCGCGGGCACGACCAGCTCCCCACGACGGCGCGGGGACGCGCCCTGGGCGGGGACCTGCGCGCCTGGACCTGGCGGGCCCGCGGCTCAGCTCCCCGGCGCGAGGGGAGGGGGAAGGTCGGGCAGAGCAGGACGGGAGCAGCCCGGGGGGCGGGTGCGTGGAGGGGCCCCCAGACTCCTGGGGATGGGGAAGGAGGCGCCGCAGCTCAGAGGTGAGAGGGCGCGGCCTTTGATCTCCCTGAGGCGCGCACCCCGCAGGGAAATGGAATCATGGTGAGGAAGCGCCCCCTTCTGGCCAGAGAGGGAGCTGTCGGCCACGTTTTCCAGCTCTGGCATGGAGACTGGTCCAGGGGGTTCTACTTTTTCTGAAGGACAGTTTAAGAATAGAAATTCTCCTGAGAAAGAGGGGAGACCATCCCTGAAGTCACCCTTCGCTGGATCTTTTTGACCAGCAGCCATTGTAGGAACAATGAGTTTCTCTCTCGAGATCTTGTTTTTTGGTCAGAGAGCATTTTTGGAGATCTCACTCCTGCCTGTCTGTGTCATCGCCCTCCACCCAAGTCAGCAACAAAATGCTTATAGAGACCTGCATCCCTCCCTGGGCTCCCACCTGCTATCCCAGACTCCCAGAGCAGGCTGGTTTCTGGGTTTGTGCCCCTCCCTCCAAGCATACTGTTCTGTCCATTGCAGGATGGTCACATGAGGCTGCTTCAGTGTCCATGGAGGGAACAAAAAGCATTAAATTTCCATTTCTTCCTACTCAGGCCCCCCAATGCCATACGTGACCCATCACCCCATCTCTCTGAGCATGAGGTCACCCTGAGGTGCTGGGCCTTGGGCTTCTACCCTGTGGACATCACCCTGACCTGGCAGCGAGTTTGGGAGGACATGGCCCCAAGAAATGGAGCTTTGAACACCAGGCTGGGAGTAGGGGGGAATGGAAACTACCAGAAGTGGGCAGCTGTGGAGGTGCCTTCTGGAGAGGAGCAGAGATACACATGTCATGTGCAGCATGAAGGCCTGATAGCACCCCTAGTCCTGAGATGGTGTATGAAGGGAAATGTGGGCACAAAGGCTGACTCGGGGCCATCAGAAGCCCTTCTGGAGACCTTCAGAGAGTCAGACCGAGGCCTCAGGCTCAGGGTCTGACCTTCCCTTCCCTTCCAGTGCCACCTCCTCAGTTCTCCATCCTTGCTGTGGTCCTCAATTCCGGCTCTGTTTTCTTTGTTGGTGTGCTCATTGCACACAAGGTGGTTCATATGTGAGGGGGTAGAAGAAGTGCTCAGGTAGGGAAGGGAGTGGGGGATCTTGTCCACTGGGGGCTTTCATGTGCCAGGGAGAACTTGCCCTGCCTGGTTAATGGGAATTATCATCCACACACACGGGTGTTGCCCAGAGGGCATTTGGTCCAGTCCCCCTTCATCTCCTTTCCTCATTTTTCCCAGTCCTGACCTGGGACTTTACTCACAGTTCTGGAAACTTCCCTGTGGTGCAGGATTAGAAGATTCCTTTAGTTAGGCTTCTGACCTGACTACTCCCTGGTCTCGCCTGACGCTTCTTCCCACAGGAGGACAAGGAGGAAGCTACACTCAGGCTGCAAGTAAGTGTGGTCAAGGCTTTGATCCCTGAGCCCAGGGAATGGTGTAGATGGAGCCCATGAGGGAGTCACTCTCATCAGTTTCTCCTGTGGTCTCATCTCTCACCAAGTTTTGTTGTGTTCTCCCCTGGGCAGCCACAGTCCCAGTGCTCTGAAGTGTATTTCCTCCCCTATAGGTGAGACCCTGGAGAATTGCAGTGGGGGTGGGGATTGAGGCGGAGAGGCTGGGACTATGCAATGGGGATGCTTTCAGGAGGACATCTTGGGAATGCAGTGGACCATTGATAATGTTAACACTCAGGTAATGAGTGAGCTGTCAGGGGTGAAGATGCCACCACATCCTAGCAGGGGCCAGGACAGGAGGAGGGGTCCCACCCAGTTTCTTACACCTCAAGCCAACCATGAGGTATTTCTAAACCTCCTCCTCTTCTGCAGGTCCAGTGCTTTTTCAGTCCCACTCAGAAGAAGCTCCTTCTCCATGGAATTGTATTTATTGGGGTGTTGTTCTGACACTCTTTACACTGTGTGAGATTTGAATTACTTTATTCTGGTGCTTGATGTTAATTGACTTCCCATCATTTTATATTGTGTACCCTGTCATTCTTGTTACACACACACACACACACACACACACATTCCCCTCTCCTTGGGAACCAGACCCTCACTCAGCACTGGGGTTACTCTGGCCCTCTGTCTCTGGTCCCCTCAGAGCCGCCCTCTCTGCAGTGTCTCTACTCAGCGGTGTCTGAGCAGCCCCAGGAGTCCCTGCACCTCCTGCCTCTGACCTTGTGGGAAACCAGCCCCTCACCCTGCATGACAGTGAGGAGACGAAGGCAAAGTCCTGAGGTCAGTGATTGATGGAGGACACAATTTGCTTTTTTCGTTTCTTTTCCCCCTCATTGTATTATTCAATTGAGGTTAGCATTGGTTTACACACTGCATGTGTTCGGAGGCAAGGGTCATATCTCTTCAGATGTTTGTTACCAAATCACACCCACCCTAAGGGCACCCACAGTCTTCACTATAGTCCGTTGGGCCCTCTCCCTACTTTGTTTCCTACTCTTACCCCCAGCCATAGCTTCAATTCTGCAGTCATATATATATAGAATATGTTTTGGTTGAGTTTCATCTGTCCCAACTTTGTTTCTTTATATTCCAAATATGAATGAAATCATCTGTATATAACTTTTTCCTTCAAATTTATTTCACTTAGTATAATCCCATCCACATCTATCCATGTTGTTGCAAATTCAATTATTTCATCTTTTTCACAGCTGAGTAGTATTCCATAGTGTGTATAGCTTGTGTTCTTTATCCCCTCATCTGCCGTTGGGCACTTAGTTTGTCTCCATCGCTTGGTTATGGTAGACAGCGCTGCAGTGACCGTAGGAGGCGCACATTCCTCGGAATTAGTGTTTTTACCTTCTTTGGATAAATACCATGGAATGGGATGCTTGACCATGGGACAGGTCTATTTTGAGGAACCTTCATTTTTTTTTCCCATAGGGGCAGGACCAATGTGCTATCCATAGAAAACAGAGGTACCAAGTTACCGCCCTGCCTAAGGAAAGGAGGAGCTAAGCAGGGATGAAAAGCTAAGGAAGAGGAGGAAGACGTGGAGCAAGATGGGGAAAGGAGGCTGGAGGAGGTGCATGGAGCAGAGAGACATGTGAAGAAGAAACCACACCTTGCTTCTCACTTGGACTTGTGCCACGGAGTTGGGGACATGGAAAGAGTCATGTGAAAGAGATTAAAAACATGGGTGAGAGACTCATGGGGATGCTGACAATGACCGCTGTTATCTTGTTGTGGATTTTGATTTTGTTCTTTTCCTTCCAGACTTGCCTGGCCCCTCCTGCCCCTTTCCCATGGGTCTCTACCAGTAGGTGCCTTAGCCTTGTGGCAGGCGTTCGGGCCCCAGTGGGCCTGCTTTGGGCCCAGCCTGTTTGGCTGGGCATTTACCCATGAGGGGTGGGTAACTGTGGGTGCTTCACTTGGGAACTATTCTAACTATATTCTTTCTCTTCTTCTCTCTATTGCACACTGATTCTCTGTTTTATAGTAATTGTATTAAAGTTCTTTTCTATTGAAGGTCTTACGCTTTAGTGTATGTTTTGTCTTTATGCAGCTGATGGCAGATCCCATGTAGAGTGTGCAGTTTTGAGGGTCCAGGGAACCCCTCATTCTGCCCACTGACAGGACAAGACATCATTCCCACCCACCATGTGCCAGAATTCCTTTTCCTCCACACCTTTCAATGGGTCATTCTCACAGATGTGAGGTGGGAACTCACTGTGGTTTTATTTATTTTTTAAAGAATTATTTATTTTTTTAAGGATTTATTTATTGATTGATTTATACATACATACATACAAGCACTGGGTACAGTCAGAAGCGCGGGAGGGTGAGAGAATCCACCAGAGCCAGAGCGGGGGGCAGAGCAGGCAGAAGGACCGAAGTACACTGCTGAGGGGAGCAGTGGGCGGCAGGAGAGGTCTGCGCGCCATGTGGGACCCTCCTCTGGTGGTCAGGGAGCAGCCGGGGATCGAACCGGCACTGCAGAGGCTGCGGGCAGCTTCGCAACCCGGCGCTCAACCGCTGCGCCACCTGGGAGGCCCAATAATTATTTATTTATTTATACAAGCACTGGGTACAGTCAGAAGCACAGGCAGGTGAGAGAATTCACCAAAGCCAGAGCAGGGAACAGAACAGGCAGGCTGTCGAAGAAATACACTGCTGAGGGGAGCAGCAAGAAAGGCAGGTGAGGTCTGTTGCACCATGTGGGACCCTCGACTGCGGCCGGGGATCAAACTGGCTTGCAGAGGCTGCTGGCAGCTTCGCAGCCCAGTGCTCAACCGCTGCGCCACCAGGGGAGGCCTTTATTGTGTTTTGAATTGGCATTTTTCTGACAGCACATGATGATAAACTTGTATCCATATATCTATTGGCCACATGTGTATCTTTTTTAGAAAAGTACCTATTTAGCTCCTCTCCTCTGTTTTGAGGTGTTTTCTTGTTTTGGAGTTCTTTGTAGATCTTGGATATTATATCCATGTTGGATTGATGATGTACAAATAGTTTCTCCAATTTGATACTGTCTTTTCATTTTAACGATAGTTTCCTTCACTATGTAGAAGCTTTTTAGTCTATGTGATTCCATTGGTTTCTTTTTGCTTTTGCTTCCTTGGAGCACAGAAGACACTATGGGCAGTGAAAATACTCTGTATGATATTCTCATGATGGACACAGGTCATTACACATGTGTCCAACACCCCAAGAACGGACAACACCAGAGTAAACCCAAAGGGAAACCATGACTTTGCAACTATGACGAGCAGGTCTATTACTTGTAACGCACATGTCAGTCTGGTCTTAACACCTAGTTTGGTCATGATGTGTGAATAGTTTTACAAGTTGAGGAATGAAGTGTAATTTACTTTAGAAAGCATATTTCATGCTCATACAAGGACATTTAAATAACACTCAAGGACACACATAAGTCATTCTTCTCCACCCTCAACACCCCAGTTAGTCAGTATCTGCTCAAAACCTAGCAATTTATCTTTTCTCTTCCAAATATATGTATCTCCATGCTCCTGTCTGGGCAATACTGTTTGTTTTCCCATCAGTAAAGGAGTTCAGGTCACAGAGTTGGGGGGAAACATTTGCAAATCACGAATCTGACAAAGGACTGTATCTACAAAAAATGCCGAAAACTCAATGATCAGAAAGAAATAACCCAATTTTAATAAGGACAAAAATAGTGTAATAAATGAACAGCACTTTATCTGTAAAAATGTACAAAACTTCTATACAAACAGCAACTGTATTCATAGAAAAGTGAAAATATGAACAAATGCTCACTACCACAGTTAAGAACAGTGACACCATCACACCTAGGAGAGACTGAAAATGCAAACTCTGCACAATACCAGGTGCTGTCCAGGGTGTGAACAAAAGAAGCCTCATTACATTCATTTTTTTAATTTTTTTTTATTTATATAAGAGCTGGGGTACAGGCCCAAGTCGCGGGAGAGTGAGAAGGTTCACCAGAGACCTGATTCACCAGATCTGGTGAATCAGGATTCACCAGAGTGGGGAGCAGAACAGACAGACGGACTGAAAGCACTGCTGAGGGGAGCAGCGGGCGAGAGAGGAGATGTCTGCCCCGCCATGTGGGAGTCTTCCTGGCTGGCCGGGAATTGAACCTGCACTGTGGAGGCTGGGGACAGCTTCACAACACTGCGTTCAACCCACTGTGCCACCGTGGAGGGCCCTCATCACATTCATTTTAAAAGATGCTTTAGGGGCTGAGAGACACATCAGAGCCCTGGGCACTGTTGTTGCCTGGTTGAGAACAAAACAGAACCTGGTAAGAGATGACACCACAGGAGGGACTGATGAGGGTGACTCCCCCATGGAGTCCATTTACACTGTCCCCAGGGGCTCAGGGTCAAACCATTGATCTACACTTACCTGGAGCCTGAGTGTAGCTTCCTCCTTGTCTCCCTGTGGGTAGAAAAATCATGTGAGACCAGAGAGCAGTCAGGTCAGAAGCCGAAAGGAATCTTCTAATCCTGCACCACAGGGAAGTTTCCAGAACTGGGACTAAAGACCCAGGTCAGTACTGGTGAAAAAGAAGAAAGGAGGCGAGGGGGGACTGGACCAAATGCTCTCTGGGCAACACACGTGTGTGGATGGCACTTCCCAAAAAACAGGTAGGGCAAGTTCTGCCTGGGACATGGAAGCCCCCAGTGGACAAGATCCCCCACTCCCTTCCCTACCTGAGAGTTTCTTCCTCCACATCACAGCTGCAGCCACCACAGCTCCAGGGAGCACAGCTCGAAGAAGAACCAGGCCAGCAATGATGCCCGCGGTGGGGATGGAGGACTGAGGAGGGGGCACTGGAAGGGAAGGAAGATCATACCCTGAGCCCCAGACCTTATCCTGACCCTCTGAAGGGCTCCAGAAGGGCTCCTGATGGCCCTGAGAACAGCCTCAGTGCCCACATCCTCCTCCTTACCCCATCTCAGGACTTGGGGCTCCAGCAGTCCCACAAGCTGCACATGGCACGTGTATCGCTGCTCCTCCCCAGAAGGCACCACCATAGCCGCCCACTTCTGGAAGGTTCCATCTCCCCCAGGCCTGGTGTCCACCAGCTCCATCTCCTGGGTCAGGTCCTCCCCATCTCGCTGCCAGGTCAGGGTGATGTCCGCAGGGTAGAAGCCCAGGGCCCAGCACTTCAGGGTGACCTCACCCTCAGAGGTGGGGTGGTGGGTCATGCGTGTCTTTGGGGGATCTGAGGTGGTAAATCAGAAAACTCACTTTATGTTTCCTCCATGGACACTGAAGAATCCTCATGAGACCATCCTCAGAATGGACAAGACAACTAGTGTGGCAGGAAAAAGCATAAAATGTAAAAAACAGGTTAATCTGGGGAATCTGTGAGATTCTCCTATTCCTTAGAAAGTCCTAGAATGAGGATGAAAACCCAGGGTAGGATGAAGCAGAGGGAGGGGAACACAGACTTTTTATTCCTGACCTGGGTGGAAGGTGAATGACACAGAAAAGCAGGAATCACATAACTGAAAATATTCTCAGACCAGAAACAAGACTGAGAGAGAAACTCGTGGTTCTCAAACAGGCCCCTGGTCAAAAGGACCCGGTGACGCGTGAGGTCAGGGACTGTCTGTCTTTCTCAGGAGAGACGGGATCCCTTCACTGTCCTTCAGGAGAAGCCGGAGTCTCTGGGGGTCTCTCTAGTGCAGAACATGAAACCCAGGGGAGTCCCCCTCTCGGGACTAGAGAGAGGACTCATTTCCCGTGCGCTGCAGAGTCTCCTTCCCGTACTCCAGGAATCTGCACAGCCACTCCACGCACCTGACCCCCACATAGTTCCTGAAGTGCGCTGCCACACCCTGGGCCTCCCACTCTCGCCAGGTGATCTGAGCAGCCGTGTCCGCTGCGGTCCAGGAGCGCAGGTCCTCGTTCAGGGCGATGTAATTGGCACCGTCGTAGGCGAACTGGCTGTATCCGCGGAGGAGGAGCCCGTCGGGCCCTATGTCACAGCCAGACATCCTCTGGAAGGTGTGAGAGCCTGTCCCCGCCCGCGTCACCCTGAGATCACCCTGCCTGCACCCACCCTGAATAAACTAAACCGAATGAAACCAGGTGAAAGTCCCGCTGACTGTTCCCAGGGACCCGGGCAGGTTGTGGAGAAGCCTGGAGGGGGAGACCCTAAGCGAAGCCCCCCCTCCCCCGTCCGTGGGGATGGGGGTGCTGACCTGGCCCGGACCCGCACCAGCTCACCGGTCTCACTCTGGTTGTAGAGGCCGCGCAGGGTGTCCAGTTGCGCTTGGAACCTCAGTGTGTTGTCCCTTTGGTGCTGTGTCTCCTCGTCCTGCTCCTCCTGCCCGACCTGCTCCATCCATGGCGCCCGCGTCTCCACACTCTGGCCCGGGGAGTCGCTGTCAAACTGCCCGAACTGCGTGTCGTCCACGTACCCCACGGCGATGAAGCGGGGCTGACCGGGACCAGGCCGGGTCATCGCGGTGTAGAAAAGCCTCATGGAGTGGGGGCCTGGGGGCGGGAGGGGAGACCCGGGATATTCTTCTCCCCTTCGGGGGCTCGAGTCCCAGGGGGCGCCCACGAGACAGAAAGTGGGTGAAAGACGAGTGAGACCGAAAAGCGGCTGCGGGACGAAAATGGCCGGGACTCGGGGGCCAGAGGAGGCTGGGTCTCGGGGGACGGAAAGGGGCCAGGACGGGGCGGGGCCGAGGTGGGGGGACAACTAGGGCTGCGGCGAGGTCGCGCCTTTCCCACCCCCGCCCACGCCCTCGCACCCGCCTCTGGGAGTGCCCTGTCCCCTCCCGACCCGCACTCACCCGCCCGGGTCTCCCTCGGGGCACTGGCCACCGCGAGCAGGAGCAGGAGGGCGGCGCCCCCCATCCCCCAGGACGCGCCCCCACCCGGGCTGGGGAGACGGAGTCCCGGCGGGCGGGCGAGGGCTTTGGAACGGGAGCCGCGGGGCTGCTGATTGGCTGCTCTGGAGACCTCCAGGCAATGGGGAGTGAGCCCCGGGGTGAGTCACCAGTATCCAGGAAGGAGGACCCGACAAGAGCTGTGAGAAGTGAAACTGGGGAGGTGAGGAAGCCCCTACAGTCACCTTCCAGCCCCAGACAGCGCCCTGGGGACTGAGACTTTGAGAGCCACACCCCGAGACCCTCCTCTCCTGCACCTTCTCCCGAGTCACACCGTCTCCCGAGTCCAGGCCCAGGAACCGGGTCAGCGATTCTCAAACCTTTTTCTTTCAGGATGTCTCTACAGTCTCACAAATTATTAAGGATCCCATGTATAATTTTTATGTGGGCTATACCGTTAAACATTTACTTTACTAGAATAAAGGCGCTTTAAGATGGAATTACTTCTTTACTTTAGAATGTTAATAACCAATGTATGCTAACAAAGCATTTTTAAGAAAATAACTAAGTTTTACCTTAGCAAATGCCAAAATAGCGAAAGGCAAATGGTGTCTAAGTGATGTTATAAAAATAGTTTTGACCTCCCGGATCCCGGAAAAGGTTCTCGGTGACCTCAAGGATTCCACAGACCGACTCTGGAAATGCTTTTCTCAGTGAACCAGGGAGAGTCTCCCAAGTGTCCTCTGCCAGCATCCATCTCTGGTTTGGATTTCCTATTTCCAAAGTTTTTCTTAGAGTTTTGCCCCTGTACTCCCTGGAAGAGAACTCATTTCAGAGATGATGAGAGAGAGTCTTCAGTCTGAGAAGGGAGTTGGAGAGACAGGTGCTTCCCTTTGGAACTGGGACAGTTTATGAGTCCGAGGCACCAGACCCACTGATAATCTTCTTTGATTTTGTTTTTCACCTGCTTAGTATGTATTTCCATCCAGGGACCTCACCTCCTCTTTAAGAGAGATAATATTGGCCCCTTGACTTTACATGTGTTTAATGCATCTGACTTGATGCTCCCAAAGCATGAAGAGCTGTGCTGTCAAACAGAATGTTCTGGAAGAAAAAAATGTTCTATATATGTACTGACCAATATGGTGCCTCTAACTATTGAACACTTGAAATGTGGCTCATGACCTGAGATGTTGCATATTTAACTATGTATCATTTAAAATTAAAAAGCCATATGTGGCTAGTAACTACCATATTGACAGTACATATCTACAATGTTCTTAACTTTCAGTATCTGTCCCCCAATACTTTGTTGTATAATAAAATAGTATAATAAAATATAATGTATAATAAAATTATCTTCTTGTGGAAATCATGAATTTTTCTACATGGGGTTTAAGTATATCCTTAAAATATGGCATGTCCAAATAGTTTAATCAACATGTATTTTAACAACAGAGAGAGGTGCAATCCCAAATCTGAATACAAACTCTGTCAAATCCCTGAATGACCACTAAACTGTGCTGAGGTGTGGGACACTCAAGAGAAACTGCTGGAAAACCAGAAAGAACTTAGAGGGCGTTGTACCCTTGAGTGACAGACTCATCCTGGTGCAATCTGTGATTCTGCACCTATGACTCATGACTTCCCCGATCCACACAAGCTCAGAGAACCAGAAGAAAAATCTTACTGACTTGAGGAATCAAACATCAGATTTCGTGGCAGCCTTTGGGTATTTGAGTACACCAGGAATAAGATAACCAACAAGTGAGTGAATGCCAACATCTGGGTAGACACTGTCCAAAACCTTGGTTGACCATTGAATCACATGGAGACAAAAAACCTGGGTTGACCATTGAATCACATGGAGACAAGTCAAACCCTTCAAGACCTAGGATGAAAATGCAGCAAGTAGAGACTGAAGCAACAGAGCAGGAGCCCAGCTTTGCACACTGCAGGGGCAGATTTCGCCTGGTTCAGGCAAATGTCCAACTTCAGTGGGCAAGAAAAGGAATCCCCAGAAAAATAAGAGTCCAGATGTGTTAAATCTTATATCTTTCACGTATTTAGATTTAAGCCTGTTTTCTTCATGGTGCTTGTTTGAATAAAGCCTGACTATTCTCTACAAGGTATCGGCATAATTTTCTTTCTTTGACAAAAAGGATATAAATATTTAGTGGCCAGATGATAGACAGTAGAAGTTTTTCAAATCTTCACAGGTTTTTTTTATATACTCAAGAGGTCAAGACCAATTCCCCTCCTGTGAGTCCCCGGACTTGCTGGCTCCCTGCTCATGGAGGAGGCTGGGGTGCCTTTGCTACTTCACAGTGAGTGAGGCTCAAAAGGCTCCACGATCTCCTGCTTGATCTCTCCTGCTCCTCTCTGGGGAAGACATTTGCTGTGCTGCGTGGGCACTCAGATAAGGAGATGCTCACATGGTGAGGAACTGAAGCTTTTTCTAGCAGCCACATGGATGAGTCTTTATGAAGATCCTTCCATGTCCATCCAGCCTTTTCTTCGGCCTGACATCGTGATTGCAGCCTCGTGAGACCCCGAGCTGGAACTACCACTGAGGTACAGGCCAGAGGTGTGGAGGGTGAGAGGATTCACCAGAGACAGAGTGGGGAACAGAACAGGGAGACTGACTGAAATACACTGCTGAGGGCAGCAGTGGGCAAGAAAGGAGAGGTCTGCTGTGCCATGTGGGTAGTTTCCTGGCTGGGGATCAAACTTGTGCTGCAGAGGCTGTGGAGAGCTTCATAGGTTGTATCTTAAACCCTTGCACAACCAGGGAGGCCCATAAATAAATAAAATCTTAAACAACAAAAGAAGTCTTGGAAAAAGAAGTTATGAGTGTGGAAGACCTGGGCTTGGGTCCTAGGTCTGTGTCATGCTAAATATGGGAATGTTTCCACTCTCACCTGTAAAATGGGACTAATAGAGTCTTGGTTGTCTGCCTCACACAGGTGATAAGAGGATTATGCTTAAACTTACAGTAATGTAGAAGTGAACTATATATTGCTTACAAGAAATGAAGTTTCAATATAAAGACACATTGAAAATAAATTTATGGAAAAAAGATAATCTATGATGATAGACATCATAAGGAGATTGGAGTGGTTCTATTAAAATCAGCCATAAAAGATTTCAAAATAGAATTCATTGGCAGATATAGAGAACCCCCTCATGGTGATAAAATCTAACAGAGTGAGAAACTTCAGAGTACAGATAGAAAGGAGACACGGTTGCCTGGCTGGGGTATGGAGAGAGGATCAAATATAAAGGTGCAGCTATTGCCAAGAGCTAAGACATGGAAACAACCTAAATGCCCAAAACCAGATGTCTGCATCAAGAAGATGTGCTATATATACACAAGGGAATACTACTCGGCAATCAAAAAAGATAAAGATGCCATTTGCAGTAACATAGATGGAGCTGGAAGGGATTATGCTCAGTGAAATATAAGTCAGAAGGAAAAGGAAAAATACTGGATGGTTTTACTTAGAGGAGGAACATAGGAAACCATACAAGGGATGGGTGAAAAAAGACAAAACTAGCAGCAAACGATACATTGGAGACATTCATCTGGGGAGGGAAGAGCAGCAGAGTCTGTGGTGATGTTCCCGGGTGTCCTGGTGGAGGCACTTTCATGGGGACAACACCTGAGAGGAGAAATCAAACATTGTATAAAATTGAAGAACAATGTAAAAATACATAAATAAATTTCAAAAAAATATATAAAGGAGCAGGAGACATTTTGGGATGAGGGGGCTGTGCAGTCTGTGTTCTATGGTAGTTCCAGGATTATATTTATTTAGAATATTCATTTATCTGTCTATTTATTCTATTATTTATATTTACCTAACTGTCCATCTAAAATTGGTAAATTTTATTTCATGTAAAGATCTTAAGAAATAAAAGCAGGGAGAAAGAAGACAAAGTTAATACACTAGAGTGAATTAAAAACAGAGAATTCATTGCTAGGAGTTCTGTCCCAAGGAATGTTAACGGATTTCTTCCAGGCCTTGGGAATGACAGTAGATAATAACTCACACATTACAGCAGTAACTAGCAACAGAGACATGCAGAGTACTTTTTTTGAGGCTTGTCTTAACATATTGAACAGATATGATTGCTTACATTTTTTGTTTTATACTTTTATTTGGCTTGTGTTTATTTTGGTTTAACATATATATTACATGAATAACATCACGGTGGTTAAATAGAACTATATTGCTGTAAATTTCCTATATGTTATGGGATGTAGTTCCATTAAGTAGATATTGAAAAATGAAAGATAAAGTATTTACAACAATAAAAAGTACTGAAATAAATATATTTAAAGCACATGAAGAATTAATTTCACAGAAAAATATTTCCTTAAATCAAAGAAAGGTATGAAAAATGGAATGAAATGGCAATGAAAATCAGCTTGTGCATGACAAAATGAAAAAATAAACATCAAACGACAGACAAATCTAACCATATCAAATACCGGATGGTCTCACTCATAGCAGGAATTTAGAAAATCTAAATAAGGGACCAGGAAAAAGACTACTTATAATAAAGTAAAAATCAAAACCAACAAGCAACTATAAACCAGAGACACACTGTGGGGCGGGGGCGTGAGGAGAGGAGGGATTAGGGTCAAAAAAAGGGGGCAGGAATTGTACGGGGAATATAACCAAGATGAAAATGCATACATTGTGCAAAAATGAAAATGAAAAATGATGTAAAAAATAGATAAAATAAAATAATAATAAAAATAAAGAAATTAGGCACTGCCGGCGCCATGAGATGTGGCCCCCTGAGCGCCCAGCTTAGTGGCCTTAGAGGCTTGCTTGGGTCAGGCAGAGTCCAGACCCCGCCAGGAGGGCGCGCGCGATGCGGCTGGGCTCAGGGACCTTCGCCGCTGGCCTCGTAGTGATCGTGGTGCTGGGGTCGCGCTGTTCCTTTGGGGTTTCTCCACGGCCCCAAGTTTGTTCTGCTCCTAGGACTGAGCACCTAACAGAGCCCCCAGTGCCCGAACCCGCAGCCGGTGCAGCTTCCGACTGAACCAAGCTCCCACCACCCG